GAAAATGTAATTATAATAGTATCGGGATGACCTTAATATTAAATTATTAAATAAATCAAATAAATATTAATTTTGTTAAATTATAATACTCTTTTATAAATAATAAATTAATAAAGAAATCGATAGTATGATTTCGAATTATTAATATTTACTATTGTAATGATAATTTCAATAGAAAAAGGATATATAATTTATACTTCTCGATATCTTTACCCTTGTTATCATATCGATATAAGTTGATGCTTGATGGTCTAAATGTAATGCTTAAAAGTTATAGGAGTCTATCTTAATTATAAATAATTTATTTAATTGAATTTTTTATCTTAATTATTTCAGGAATAGTTAGTAATATTTTCAACCTTTTTATAATTCTTTCAAGTATACTTAATAATCGAAACTGAAACCCTTTTTCTTTAAGAATATTTACAATTTCAGAATTCAATTATTATTAGAATACTATAAATTGTATATTAATTAGTGCCTTATCGACCATTTATTTTAAGTAGATTGTATATTTTACAATAAGTAATCTATATATACAGAGTTCGTATTATAATTTATATAATAATCATATTCCAGTAAATAGAAAATACTCTAATTTAAAGTCCTTAAAACTTATAGTATAATTCGATTACAATTTCTTATCATAAAAATCGCTAAATTTATATTCATATAATTTATATTTATAGAAATCTTATATTTCCCTTTTATTTGTATAGTTAATATTAAAAGGATAATCTTTCTATCTATTCATCATTGATTTATAATCATTAAACATGATTTTTAATAAAATTAGAAATTTGATAATGAATTTGATAAACTTAATATTGTTAAGTTATTCTAAGGCTAAATATTTAACATTTTCAATATAATGTTTTCAAGATATAGAAGAATTTATAAATGATTCTGTTATATTTAATGGATAGTAAATAGATAATGAGATATTAACTTTACCAAGATATAGTAAAGTTTGAGTTCGAAAAGTATAGTACTAAGCTTGAATTAAATACTACTAATTCTTATTCTTTAATACATATTATAATAAAGAATAAAATATAGATTAAAATTAGTATAAAAGCTGCCATCATATTGTCAACCATTTTTATTTATACAAAGGTAGATATCAAATCATATTAGAATAATATAAAAGTTTATATCTTTTTAAAGAAATATTAATCTTAATTCAAATTATATATTATAATTAAAATTAAGATATTAGGCTTTTAATTTATAATATTACTAATTAGTATTAATATCATTATAAAAATAGTGAAGTTAATATAGTACTATGGTTCATATTGTTGTTATATTGTTTGAAGTTTTAAAAGCTAGGGCTACGAAACGTATTGCTATAGTATCGGAAGACGCTAGCGTCAACGCTAGCGTAGTCACATGATCCCTGTCCCAACAGTTATGATTATTTATTAATCTTTTTAGTATGAGTATTAAGAGAATAATATTAATAATTGTCGAAACGTATGATCACGTGCTTGAGCGAATCACATGATTCTTCCTATTATATATATAATGGAAAGAATTATACCTTATTCTAGATCATTTCAATTTATATTATTCATTTTATATAGGCTATACAGTACTATATATAGTAATTCGAGTTAACGACTCCCCCCTCAAGTGATCTTAATAATAATATAGATGATTTTGATATTAAAGTAATTATTTGTTTTTATATTGAGATTTAGTATGAGTGAATTAGTAGAGTATATAGTGTTTATTAGTTATTATTTTTGTTATATTAGTATTTATTAATTATTCTTAATAATAAGTTATTTTGAGGTAAAAAAAATGTTTTTATAAGTTATTTATTACTAATTTAAGGCTTTTTATATTTTGTATTAGGTTTTTATTCTTTTTAGTTTTAATGTTTAATGATTTCTTCTTTTTAATTATACTTTTGTAATAAAAGATAATATAATTAATCAATTAGTTTCTCTAATTGTAAAAAGAGTATTTTAATTTATATTTAGATATTTTTTATTTTATTAAGAATTTTTAGAAATCAAAAATCTTTGTTTTTATATTTAACATTATTAAATTAATCCTCTTTTCTATTCTATTATATATTTTAAATTAGGTTTTAGTGATTTTAAAATCGAGTATAGTTAGTATTTTAAATCTTAAATGATTATAAAATCCTTTTTACAAAGAAAAATTCAATCTTAATAATTATATATTTATTATATAATATTATATTCATTAAATGTACATAATATGATTTTATTATCGCTTTTTTTATTTATAATATAGATCGATATTGTTTATTATTTTATTTAAAGTTTATTTTATTCTTATTTATTTCAAGATTATAAAAAATCTTATTTTTAAACAACTTTTATATTAAGAACTTTTTTAATTTTTTTGTATTTCTTTTAAATAAATTATATCATATCTTTTATTTTTATTTTTATTTTAAATTTAGTTTGAAGTTTGTTTAAGTATAGATTTAATAATTTTATTAGAGATTTGATATAAATTATAAGAAAGAGAGTACTCTTATAGACTCCTATAACTATTTAAAGATAGATGTTTTATTCTTTCTAAACGCCTATAGTTCGCTAATATAAAAAATAATACATATATAAAAGTTCTAAAACCTCCTCATTATATAGATTACGATTTCCTTATTAAAACTATTAATTTTTCAGCTTTCAAATCTTTCATTTCTTTATTAAAACTTTATATAGTATAATAAAAAGAATTTAAAATCGATTTAGAATTATTTTAATTATGAGTCGATCACCCTACTTTCAAGTCACTTCTGTTTTGGGCCATTCTTTTACACTAAAACTCGCTTTTTTAGCTTATTAATATCTTTATTAATATATAATCTAATTTGATAAAAGTTTGAATATATGTAATTTAAGTTATTTTAAGTTTATTCTGAAATTTTGAAATTTTTAGGAATTTTTTATATTGAGATTTAAAGTTTCAAAACATCGATTTTTAAATTTGTATAAAAATCATATACAAATTTAAAACTTTTATAATATCTTTAATAATTTTTTAATAATAATTATTAAAAGAAAATTATATATCTTTTTGAAAATTTTGAACTTGAATTTATATAGAAATTAAAAAAAAATAAAGAAAAATTAATAAATATAAAGATATAATATACAATGAGTTTAAAATAGTATAGATAATCCCTATAATTTTGAGGGTATTCTTTTAAATATTTATTTATAGGAAATTTTCTTTTTTTTCTGAATCCTTTAAAATAAATATATTATAAGTTTATAATAAAATTTTATAACTTATTTTTAATAATTTTTATTAAAAATTTATGAAAGATTTTATAAAAGTTTCAAATTTGTATATAATTCCTATATAAATTTAAAAATCAATATTTTAAAGCTTTAGATTTCAATATAGAAAATTCCTAAAAATCTGAAATTTTCAAGATAAACTAAAAATGATCTAAATTATATATATATAAATTTTCAATAAATTCTATTTATAAATAAGAAAGTTAAAAATTCCATTTTTGGTGTAAAAAGTGACTCAAAAGGGGGGTGGCCCGAAAGTAGAGTACTCGACTTAGTATTAGAGTATAGCTTTTTATCGAACATTAAAATTACACTAAAACTCATATAAATCATTCGTATTTTATTAAATGAATATAATACATATACTAATAAATTTCACATTAGTTTATTCAGTTTCATTTGAAATTTACTAATAAAATAAGCGAGAATTAAGAACTTTTCTTTTGATATTGATTTAATCTTATAAATATCAGTATATATTTATTTTAAAATAATAAAAATTTAAATCATAAATCCTTCGTTATATAATAAAATCATATTCAAAATTTTGATTAAATTCAATTATTTTAAATATTTCTTTTTTATAATTATAAATAGGACAAAATATCCGTTTTTAGTATGATTTTTGAAACCGACAAACAGCTGTATACGATTACTATATATATCAAAAAAGCTAGTTTATTTCTAAATATTTAATTTATAAAGTTATAAGCTATTAAAGATAGATATTATAAATTTTTTTTTAAAAAATCGCTTATTGATACGCTAATACTAGCGCACCAGAGTACCGAGGTACATATAAATAGCTTCTACATAGTATAATAAGAACTTCGTCCTTCTTTCATACTAAAACTATACTACTTATCTTGTATAGGAAAGGTATTATTAATTTTTAGTTTTTAATTTTCAGATTTATATAATTTATGAATAAAAAAAAATTAAAAAAAATTCACGTATATTTTTTTTCAATAAAGAATAGTATTGATTACTTATTTTTAAATTTTAAAAATAAAATTCCTCAAATTGAAAAAGTTATCAACTTTTTTAATTTGTATAGAAAAATACTATTTTTATAGGGATTTTGTTATAAAACTTATAAGGTACGATAAGGTTTTAAAACTCTTATATTGCTAATAATTTATAAGAGGCGAATTGAATTATATTATATTTACGTTCATATTAAAGCTAGCTAGCTAGCTAGCTAATTAAAAAATGTCAAAAGGATAAAATAAAATAAAGAGAGAATTTCAAGTTAATTGATCCCCTTCGACTTTGACTTTTCAACTACTTTACTATAATAGTAAGGATAGTCTGAGTCTAGTCAGGAAGAAATGAAGAAAAGAAAGAAAGAAGGGAGAAACTAGCTACAACCCGTCATTCATCTTGATCAAAAAAGAAAGTAAGAAAGCAAGCAAGCAAGCACTCTCAAGCGAAACCTTCTTTCATAAGTCCATCCATCGATCAATCAATAAATCACCAAACCAATTCCTTCCATTCATCCCCTGGTCACCTCAAAAGCGAAAGAAAAAACTATCATTCGATCAATCAATCATTACCCACCACCATCCATCATCCATCATAACATCTCAATCATAAAATGAATCCACCCATCATAAAAAAAAATCTCATCTCATTCCACCATAAAATCATCATCCGATTTGCCCCTACATAGGTTCATCATTGGTTTTTCCCTACATAGGTGCTTCATCGAAATTAAATCCCCACAATACTCCTAACCAACCTCTTCGCTGCATCAGAATTTCCACCCAAATTACTCTGATCATTTTCTGCTGGATAGAAGAAAGCCGCCACGGCAATAATCACATAAGCCGCGCAAAGAAGTGCACCTTCGAGGTAATTGGATCGACCATCTAGAACCAAGAAATTGACGATGAAAGCCGAGACGAAGAGACAGACGGTTTCGAAGAGTGTAAAGTATAATGTCATTTCTCTAGACATACACCAGCCGAGAAGAACGATAAAGGGAGTAACGAAGAGAGCTATCATGATGAGTTAGTTGAAATTGTATTAAATGTTGTGAATGAAACATACCGATTTGAATAGAAGAACCAACGGCTACACCAATTGCCAAATCCATTTTATTCTTACTAGCAACCGTAACAGCTGTAACGTGCTCGGCAGCATTACCAACAATAGGTAAGATGATGAGACCAATAAAAGCCTCACTCAAACCAGAATTACCTTTGACGACAGCATTAATACTATCAACCATGAATTCGGCACAACAGGCTACAAGACCTGTAGAAAGAAGAAGTAAAACGACGGCTGTAGTGCGAGAGATATTTTCATCCTCACCATCCATAGGAACCTTGTTGACTGCAACAGCTGTGCTGTTAATGCGAACAGGTGCAAGATTTGATGGAGTGGGATTGGCTGGATTTGATACGGTTTGATTGAGACGATCAGGTAAAGAATTCGTGCGACGAATTCCCATCCGAACGCGAGGGATATTTCCAGGGGGTGGAGTACCGGTAGGTGCAGGGTTGGTAAAGACATTTTGAGAGAATGTCTTTGGAATCTGAGGTCGAATGCCAGAGGTTATTCCGCGAAGAGTAAATGGTCGTTTTTGAGCGTTATCTTGTTGAAATTCGGGATTTTCCATAATGGCAAAATCAACACGTCGTGGATCAAAATCATTTGGTACCGCTTCCGCAGATTTCTCATTGACAGCTTCAGGGACAACACCTTCTTTAATGGTTTCTTGATGTCTGTGAGCTCTCTTGCGAGCTTTGTGTTCCTTTTTCTGTTGCTTGCGTTCTTTCTTATGTTCCTTTTTGGTCGTGACATAATTTGTGAATGAACCAGTGCGGCTTCTTCTAGGGCGTTCATCATCACCATCCTCTGCAAAGTCAATAGCACCTGTACGATGATCATCACCAGCGGACCCACTACCTTCAGCTGCATGATTAAGACTGCTGTTACCAAAAGATGGTGTACGAAGAGCCTCAACTTCAACCGTATCTTTCGATGCTGAGCTTGACTTACGACGTCTACCACCCCTGATAAGTCTCTTTACACGTTTGGCAGTAGTATTGGAACCGCTGGAACCATCAGAGTCAGAGCTGGAGGACGATGAATCATCAGATGATGAGTCCATCCAAGCTGCAACCGGTCCAGGAGCTAATTCCTCATCAATGATATGCTGAGGAGTACTTTCATACATATATGCGTGAGATTTCAATTGAAACAAGAGGTACATGGCATAAACCAAAAGGAGAACCTGAAAGAATCAGTATAACGAGGTTTCACAAACACAATAATCAAGAACTTACGACACTAGTACCACGACTAACTTGCAAGACTTTGGTGTTAGCCTTATCTGCAGCAGTTGTAGTATTGAACGACGCATGGAAAGCAGTCTATATTTGTCAGTTAATAGTTTACGCCGAAGGAAGAAGAAGGCATACTGGAAGCAATAAACTCATGACGCTCAAACTTAAAAGACAAGCACTCATTTGCGTGACAGTACTATTATAGATCTATAAATATCAGCAATGCTCACAACTTTCGATGAAGAATCAATTACCTGTTCACGGAAGCGAAGTCCACCAACCAAAAAACACATTCCTAGAATCAAGAGAAGATTTGCAAGAATCGAACCGAGCAAGGAGGCTTGGACAATACGGATTTCATTCTGTTGAAAGTTAGAATAAGTCGCACTTGAAAGGGGAACTTTACTAACCTTTTGCAATGCAATGCTATAGGGTTAAAGATAAACAGGTGAGCATATGTTTCGTACGAATATTTCACAAGGGACTTGCATGAGACAAAAGGAAATGGAAAGGGTATAATGATATGGGACGCGATTGATATGATAATGCCTTTAAGAGGGCTTCTCGCACTTTCTTATCTTGATCTCTCACGAGGTAGACATACATACTATTGAAATTGTTAGCTGAATTCGATATTTGAATGAAGATGTAGAGGAAAACTCACAAAATGATAAGCTCAACCGCATTACCAAAAGTAACATTCATCAAAGCACCAATAGTGTCACCCATCCTCTTCGCCACGCTTTCCGTAGCATGACTGAGTAAACCTGCCAAAGGTATGATAGCAATAGCATTCATCGCAAAGATGATACCTGGACTGAGGCCAATCGCATAGGCGATGATACCCACCGGTACAAATACCAATAAAATATTGATAACACTCGAAAGTATAATGTGTTTGCCGGTAAGCCAAAATCGCGTGGCAATATTTTTCTTCTTGGGTTTCTCGGATTCGCTCGATTCTATGATATTCCCCTCTCCATCAACTTGCGGAGGTGGAGCTGGTGGCGGATGGACGTTGGATGTATTTTCTGCCACATTGTTTCTTGTGGGATTTGAACGGTGGTTCTTGAGGCCATTATGACTTGCATTATTTCTTGGGATATTGGTTGCATTGTGAAGAACGGAAGTAGCAGTGTTGTTATTCTGCGCGATGGTAGTAGGAGGATTGCTCAAGGGAAGAGTTGGTCCACTGAGATCTGACGAGGTCGTAGGGTTGCCATGTGCCTTGGATTTATCCCAGAAGCTCACACGATCTAGAAATGACGGCGAATTAGACGAAGTTTCCTTCATCGATGTGGAATCAGATGAATAGAAGTTGAGGATGAATTTGTTCAACTGAGAAACAAATTTGGGTATGGTTGAGGTGAAGAACAAGACAAAGATGAATTCGCTATCAAATTAGGGAAATGGAGGGAAGAGAGAGAGAGAGGCGTGTGTGTGTGTGTGTGTGATTTATTTGAAGAGAGAAAAACACGTAAGAGCAAAAACAAAGGATGTTTTGATGATGAATGATGAATGATATCCCAAAAAGGAAGAGGAGGTTTGTTTAATATACCCGTAGGTGTAACGTCGTTTATAACCCAAAGGGTAATAATGATTGGGAAAGATTTTGGGGAAGATTGGGGGTGTGATGGGGAATTGGGATACGGTGAAAGTCACTCCCTCTCCCTGTAAGAAGTTGATAAGGCGAAGATTTCCAGGGATCATTCAAGGTTTGCGGTTTGCCAAGGCTGAACTTTCCAAGTAGTGGGTGTGCCAAGTAGCGGAGAAATATCTTGGGAAAAAGGAAGATGATTGGATGTCATTCGCTTTGAATTGTATATTCTCTCTTGTATGATTGGATGAGATGGGAACCTGGGAGGGTTTGCTTGAAGTGTGAATTAGGTAGTTAAGTATGGGAATCAATAGATGTGGCGCAGTCATTGGATCTTGATAACAGGTGTGAAGGATCCATGGATTTGATTGTATGTGCTGTAACCTACCTCATGGTACTTTAGCAATGAAGTACCAGAGTGCTACAATTCCCAAAGGGGTGGGAAGAGAGACTTGCATCATTCCAGTGGTATCTATGTGTTTTGTAAGGATCTCGTCTCCTCTCACAATCCATCATATATTTGTATCACTCGATCAATTAGACTCGGCGCCGATTAGTTCCAACGAAGATCTTTCGTTACTCAAACCTTCATCATCGATTATCCAACCACCACTCAGACCTCTCCTGATTCATATGTCCTCCTATTTTATCTCGAGAGTGACCACTGACGATGATCTTCCATCTCTCTCCCCATACTTGGATGAAAGCTTGGTTTGATGTCACTATGATGTAGTAAAATCGATGTGATGTTCGAGATACATACATACATACATATAAGAAATAAGAGATCACCGGAATATCAACAGGAAATCACTTGACAATACAAACAAACAAATAAACAAACAAACAGGAAAAGAGATAATCAAAAAACAATACATACTTTGTCCATTCTCCTTGTTCATACTTTGCTAATGCACGATTCGTCCTCGGTTCTCTTCCCGAAGACTTTAATCGTAGTACGTACTATAATAACCCTCCGGACAGATACAAGCGGTTGATCCGTGAATCGCCTTTAGATTGACTAACTGCCGGCAGTTAAGTTACGCACGTAGATCAGGTACGGGTACTTGAATCACGAGGGAAGGATTTGATGAGAAGTATTAGGTAGAATGTAGAATGTACATTGTACCAAGTAGAAACACAATATAGAGTCACTGTATTGAATGAAATATTTTCATATATGATGGATTACAATTCGCATGTGTTTAGTAATTGCAGATGTGAGAATCTAATCTTCCTATCAAATCCCGGGCAACTCTCTCCCACCTCATCAATCCATCAGATCTCATCTCTATCACTCTATCAGGAAAGCACATACAAGATTCACATCTACCATTTCTGAAGCCCCAATCCATCCCCCACGCCAAGTCATGTCAAAAATCAGACATTTCCGAAGCATAGACGATTATGCTCATTGCCAAGTATCTAGGTATCAAATATGACCTCGCGATACATCAAATCCCGATTCAAAATCCTTCCAAATCTGGTATGCTCCCAAGTTCCAATTCACATTTTAAAGAGTACTTTACTATTCATCCCCCATCTTTCCATAACCCACATCCCTCTATCTACTAGGTACATAAACCCCTTTCATCAACAATCCATCTTTCAATGAATCCCCTCATCACAAATCCCCATCATCATCAAACAATCAGCGCTTGCGTACATGCATCCACCAGCGCCAACAAAACGAAACGTGAACATACAAACATGATCACAATATCGATAAACACCTGCCCAGGTGCACCTATACATTTCCGCCACAACTCAACACAGCCACACACGTCCACCATCCCGAGGTCATCATCACCATCACCATCACCATCACCATCATCATCACATAATCCACCCAATAATCATTAGTCATTCCACATACCCACCATACCTAACCCACCAAGTAGGTACCCATCCATAGAACAATCCAATCCATCCCCGAAAACCCAGAACCAATTAATAAAACAGGGCTGAATCCGTTCCTACCTCGGGGTTTTCAATGTGGCTAGTGATGATGAGGAGGCCCGCCCCTATTGTATTTCTTCTCGGATCAATTCGCCCACGTATGTTAGGTACATGCAAAGAAAGGTACATGGGTATTTGGGTAGGGAGTATTTCATTATTATTATGGTAATTCATCATTCACCAATACTTATTTTACATAAGTTACTAACTTCTACTAATCCATGAGTAGTAATCGAAAATTGAAATTCTATAAACATGTTGCGCGTCTACGTACCTAGTAGTTTGGTAGATACCTAGGTACCTACCTAGGTCAATAATCAATATCGTCGCGTAGCTTGCTGACCTTGGCGGTTGGAAGTGGAAGTTCAAGCTATATAGTCCTGGTCGGTCCTTGGACTCCGTGGGCTTACCGCTTGTAGAGCTGGTATGGTTGTATATTAGGTAGGTATTCATGATCTAGATTCTGTAATATACTCTATAGTAGATATATTAGGAGATGGGATTGATATAATATGTATATAGTAATATAATAATAAATTTCCATTCTTATTAAATAGAATGAAATGAAAGGATAATAGATATAACGTAACTTATGGTGAACCGGGTCATATGGGGAACTGGGTCACATTTAGCCCATTACTGACTTCAAACCCCAACAAATTTTGCTATACATACCAAATCATCTCTTATACCTTCTCAAATTGAAGAGAAGATATAGAATATTATTATTATATTTCAATTAAAGGAATTTAAATCAATTAAAAAGACTACAGAGTATTTTGAAGTTCCTAAATTAACTCTTATAACTAGAATCACTAAAAGGAAATCACATACTTAATCCTATAAAATAACTCAAATTCTTTCAAATATAGAAAAAAATACTCTTGTACAATGGATTTTACAACTTACCATTACTAAATTCCCTACTACACCTATATTGGTGAAGGAAATGACTAACGAAATTCGTCTTCGACACATTCAAATCACATTATCTCGAATTCTTACTTTAACAGAAATTCCACCTATAAGTCATAAATAGATTTATAGATTTTAAAAACAATATTTAGAATTTAAGATATACTACTCATATTAATTAAAGTCTAATTAGATTAAAGAAGTAATATCGGAGAATATTCAGGCTTGATTTAATACATTTTATATACATCTCATTAAACAAAAGTATAAATTAAATGATATATATAATATAAATGAAACCGGATTTGAAATTAGAAGTACTTAAAATATACATATTATAATTAATTCTACTCAAAAATCAAATTAGAAAATTATAATTGGTAAATAAGAATGAATAATTATATTTAAATGTATTAATATAACTAAAAAGGCTCTATTATCTATAATCATTTTCAAGGCTCAGAATACAAATTCTATATGGATTTCAAAAGATATACCTCAAAGCTAGCAGTTCTCTATTAATACAAATAAATGAACCTTAAATAATTATAAATTAAAATAACTAAAAAGGGTTTTCGAACCAAAATTCAAGAAAGTGTTAGATGACCGACCTCGACTTTTGATCATAAATAGTTATTTAAATCATATTACAAACAGCTTTATTACTTTCTGTATAAAGAAGGATATCAATTTATTTATATTATCTCCTTATTACTTTTATTTATTTCAATCATTTAATATTATAATATATAGACTAATAAAACAATATTATACTTTAAAGATTGATTAATATTTTTAAGCTAATATAAAGTAAATCCAAAAAGCTGAATAAATAGAACTCTTTCAAAATATTAGAAAAAAAGCATTGAATTCTTTTAATATTAAAGCTGGCTAAAGAAGAACTAATTTAATACCTTTTGCCCTATGAAAAGTATTCAATTCATTACTATTTAACTCCTCCCAATAATTTTCCACTTTATAAATAAGAATTTTTAATCAAAATCTAAATTTATCTATATTTAAAAGCTTTCCTCCAAATAGAACAAAGTTAAAATAAGTAAATCAAACCTTTAATAAAGCTTTAGTAAATAATAATTCTTTTATATTATTAATTTGTCGATATGTTAAAAGAATAATTAAACTTATAGAATCTCAAAATACTAAGATAGCCTTACTTTGGAAATAGTTTATTAATATTTAGAAAGTAATTAAAACTTGAAAGAAAAGAATTAAAAGTAAAAGAATCAAATTACAAGGTTAATTTGTCTTTAATAATAAGGAAGTATTGAAAATGATATATAAAACGAAAGAAAACCCTAAGAAAAAAAAGCTATAAGAATGATTATATAAATATCTAATTAAAGAATTAGAAAAGGAGATTGAAAAAGAAAAATCAAAGAATAATTCAAGTAATTTAGAGTTGGAATTGAATGAATATGTAGCTTGTAGAACAAGATTATATAAAGAGAATTGAATTTTATAATTCGATTCCCCATATGACCCGGTTCATCATAAGTTACGTTATAATATTATAATAATAATTATCTCTTGGAAATAAAGATATATAAGGAGTATAATGTTTTTAAAATGGAGATTTATAATTTTAATGAATACGATCATTAAATTTGAAGATCTCTCCTCTTAAAAACTTCGTTTTTCTTCTTTTAAATCGTTTTCAAATCATCTTCAAATCGTCAATAAAAAGGTATGCCTATTCAGTGAACATTCTCAAATTCAAATCCAATCCAACCTCTGATCAGAAATCTACATCTATACTCCATCTTCTTCAATAACAGATCCTCGAATGTAAACGTACATTCAATTAAAACTCCCTCTCCCTCTATACTCCCTCTACTCCCCTTTCCCTCCCTCTCTCCCTCTCCCTATTCATTAATGACAGCTCCTCACATCACATCCCCTCTCCCACCATCCACCATCTACCACCCACCACCCATCTTTCATCTTCTATCTTCCATCTCATACCCCAAAGCTTAACCCACAAGAAACATCACTACAAACTTATTAATATACAAAAAAATAACTTAAACTATCTTATAGTATCTAGTATTCATGAAATATAATACACAAATAATTTTCCATAAATACATATCTCATATCCAATATCCAAAATAATCACAGCCTACCTAACCGGGTAGATTTATACACATATACAAACGAATATCAACCACCCATCACAGAGTAAATGAATAGAGTAAATCAATGTATAAAGCAACGGGATGCGATATCCAGACAATTCAAGAAAAGATGCTCTTCTTGTCTGGTGAAGTTTTGTATATAAAGTCAATGGTAAGAAGTATTATATTATATTAGGAACGAATATAAACATGAGTGTATTTGCTACTGTGACAGTGTATTATCTAGTTCGTGGATATACTCTCAGTCTTCTAGTCTTTTGGTAATGTAAGAATCTCCAGATGCAGATGGATATATGTCATACTCTTCATCTTTCCCAGTGCCAATATAGATTTTCTCGAATCACTTTGCTCGTTATTCGAAAAATGATATTATAATATATGCTAGGGGAATAAGATACCACAATACCTCTACACACATTCAAGATATCCAGATACATCACATCAAAACACACAATGCAAAAATTGTCATCGAAACATCTTTCATTGATCGACATCTATCTATATACAAGAAAAAATATAAACTCTCCGTCTTCTCCATCTCTCATCTCTTTCTCCCCCTCTCTAAATATACAAAAACAGATCTCCTCTTCTGCTCAATCACTTAAGCATCACAAGAATTATCCTCTTCTGGAGCCGCAGAAGTAGCCACGGCAGCAGCACTAGAAGTGCTACTTGCCTTTGTAACCGTAGCCAAAGTAGTCGGGAGAGCGGCAAAAGTAGTAGTTTGGGCGGCGCTGGAAGCAGCGGCCGAGGTAGCAATAGCAGCAACGGAGCTAACCGATGAAGCGACGACGGAGCTGGATGCTACGACTGGGACGGAAGAAGAAGCGACGACAGCTGAAGAAGCTACGGAAGAAGCTGCGACGGTGGATGCTGGGACGGCGGGAGAAGCGACTGCGGAAGAAGCAGATCCAGAACCAGACGCGGAACCGACGGTGAAATCAACGCACGACTCGTAGGTTTGGTCGATGGAAGCAGCATCCCACCAATGTTGGACCACACATCCACCAGGGGTAGCACAGGTGCTTGGGAGATCATCTGGGATGGTAATGCTGAAGCTCGTTTCGTTGGAAGTGACGCCAGTGGCTGTGCTTGCGAAAACATCATAGTACAACAATTGTTTGATGACGGTGTTGGCCGCAGTGTCGATAATCGACACGTTAGCGGTACCGGTGTGAGGAGCCGCAACATTGAAGGTGAAAGGAACGACTTGGCCTGCAGTCCAGCTTTGCACGAGATCAGTGTTGTCGGCGTATTTGTAACCCTTGCATTGCCAGATGTTGCATGCGGCGGCATCGTAGTCGCTTTGAGTGGCCGCGACTTGAAGCATGCCTTGGATGTTTCCGTTAGGGTCGGATGCTTGGTTTACCTCGACTTGTTGTCCGCAGGCGGATGCCATGGCGGCACCGGGGTTACGGGGTGTGGGGGTGAGGATACGTCCGTGGGCGGAGACGGAGGTGATGAGGCCAGCGGCCATGAGGATGGTGGATGTGTATTGCATTTTGAAAAGGATGATTTGGTTTAACGTCGAGCTAAAAAGGTTCTTGATTGGGAGAAGATTTGAAGTTGGAGATATGAATCGATGAAGATGAATGGAGCGAAATCTACCAGAACTAGCTGGATGAATGAATGTATAAAATTTGGGTTGAATGAATGTGAGAGGCGACTTTGCACCAAAAAGAATGTATTTGCGATAGAAGATGTGAACGAGAAAGACGTGTTGAAGAAACAAGAGAGTGAAACTTCCTCCTCTCTGTCGGAAGGAAAACCTACTTATATGAAAACCTCCCCTCCCATTATCAAACCCCCAAACAATCAATGCAAGCCATCTAAATTTCGTTTATTAAAAAGAGGAGTGCACAGTGGACCATCACCACAAGTGTTCAACTCCATACAGCGTAGACCCATTGGCTCAATCCTGTTCATCTCCTAACTCCTGCAATAGTCACCATGTGTAAAGAAGCCAAACCCAAAAAGACGAAAGGTCTGGATGCAGATATATTGACCTTCACTCCCGACTTCCTTTCCATCCATGCAGTATCCAATCTTTGTAGACACCACACCCCCGTCACCCAAACAATAATTGGGACTCTATCACCAAAACGAACTACGAGATCCGGATAAAGTGGCTAAAGGTAAAGCAAAGCGTCACGCCAAGTTGTAACAATTAACGGCGTGTATGCGAAAACGATCAAATCAATCAAAAGCAATATTTTCATGGGAGAAAATGAAAGAAAACATTCAGGAGTCCCCTCTCATGGAAATTGAGGAACCGCCAATTAATATACTTCAAACTTCAAACCCAAGGTCATTCGGATGAGTTTCCCTATTCATTATGTATGTTGGATGGAATTATGGAGTCATGTGTATGCGATTGGTAGGTTATACTAGGATCATCGGTACAGACGCCGATGGGATGAAACAAGACAGGGGATATTGAAGTTTAGATGAGATGAGATGAGATGAGATAATGATTTTTGGGGGGGGGGGATTTTACCAACTCAGAAGCTTGATGATATTTATATGAACCTGTATGTGAATTAATATGTGACTTGTTGGTGTCAATCGAAGAAAGAAAACAATTTAAACTCATGTCATGATATTTCTTTTGCTATCATATCGTACAGATCTGGGATCGAAACTTGATGCTCGTTTGATATAAGTTAGACAGATATTGATAAATTGCGTCATTCTTCAATCTATATCTTTGAAACGACTACTTTATACTACGGAGTATATGCAATATAGTGTAAAGCTTATTAGAAGCTCAAAAAGTATGTTGGTGAGGAGAACTTTCACTAGTCTTCATCTATATTATATATTATGACAGTATCCTGCATCGTGAATCTACCTCTACAAACTTCATTCTCGTTTTCTCCGTAATGAGGATTCACAAATTCGCTCGTCTATTCCAAATTTCCAATCTGGTCCATTATTATAAATGGAAGCTTGATTCTGATGTTACGGCAATCTTCATATGGTAATTGTATGTTTCATCCTCAACCTCTCGAACCATTGGCTATAAAGACACTCTTGTCCTTTAATTTTCACAGGTACTCTAGATAAATGCAATGCAATTTACAATTACTACGTACTACAAATTCTATTCCGTCAAAATAATACCATTGCGACTTCCTGTCAAATCCAGACCCATGATATACATTCAGAAATCACACACAAATGCTCCCACTTCTCACATCTTACTCGGCATTCTCATTCCTCCATCTAATCTCAAAACTACTCCATTCAACATCACATTCTCAATACTTTGTCTTACCAGTTGTGCAAATTCATGGGGTTTGCCTGGTCGTACTATTTGTTTTCTTATTAACTCGTTTGTTCTAATTTTGATATTGGGGAGAAAATAAAGTATGGGATACGACATATGAGAGGGAGACATTCCGAAAATAGAGACATGAAGAATAACTTACGTGGAAACTCCATAACTCTAGTCAGACTCGCTCGCACTTTATCACTCATCATAGCCGTCATTCTTGAATCAAAAAGACTGGGTGCTATGGTGACGACGCGAATACCATGTTTTGCAACATCACGTGTCAAGGGAAGGGTTAAGGAGACTATTGCGCCTTTTGAAGCGGAGTAGGCGACTAATTGACTATTAGCATCTTGAACATCTCTTAAATTGAGAATGAAATGAGAAATGGAAGAACAGAATGAAGGGAAAATTACCTTGACCAGGCTGGCCATCAAAGGCAGCAGATGAAGCAACCATGATGATAACGCCACGCTCACCATCTTCATTCAAAGGAGTGGAACGAGCCATGTGGGGAAGACATTGACGAATCAAATCGATAGTACCGCGGACGTTGACGTTCATCACGAAATCAAAGTCGGAGAGAGAGAAGGGATTGAGGTTGCGGTCGAGGATCTGAGGTTGGCGAGGTTAGTCTGTTGGTGAATTTGCAATCCGGGTAAAGAGGGGATCACAATGGGGCATTTTGAGGGATGGGAAGGAGGGAGGCTTGGGAAGGTTTGGATGTGGAAAGGTTTGGATAAGGAAAAGATGAAAAGAGGATGTTGAGGGAAAGACTTAGAAGCCCTCGCTCCCCTGCCGGAAGGTTTCGTATGGCGCACGTAAGAGTGTTATGAGAAACTACCATAACGGGAAAAGTATAGAGCCAGTACCACTTCAAAGGCACTTGTATTTCGATAGAACATTATCTTAAAAACAACAGATGAAAACATACCTTAGCAGGAGTAGCTACACCAGCAGCTGCAATAACTCCACCAATCTCCTTTCCAGTTTCTTTCACCCATTCCAAGGCACCTTTAACAGCATTGGTAATACTATCTGTTTCCAATACATCTGTTTGAAAGAACTTAATCTTTCCACCTCCTACTTCTTTAACCAACTCTTCAGCCAACTCTTCATTCATGTCCAGAACTGCTGCATATCCTCCAGCTTGGCAGATATCAACAGCACATGCTCGACCTAAGCCTGAAGCTCTGGATGTCTTGTTAATAATGTTTGATTTATTCATGGTTACATGGTTTCACTCACCCGCCTGATACAATGAATGTTCTACCTTCAATCTTCATTTTGATAATATTCGAATAATATATGTTAAAGAAGGTTTCTGAACATTCACGAAACCATTCTTCTTCCTCATACCTCACTCATCACATGCCTCGGCTGACCAAATCCCTCTAATCTATATAACGCCAATCCAAACTAGTCTAGCGTCGGGAAATGATTGGCTCAACACCGATGCGATAAGGCTTGCGACAACTTTGATGTCACGCCCTGTTGTAGTCTCTATTTACTCAAGGAAATCAAGAAATTCCTGATTATAAAAATATTAAACAACTTCCAAAACTTCTCGACCTTCTGTGCCTTGAACAACAAAAAATTGGACCCGTTTTCGTACTCCCACCCATAGGCGAAGATGGTACGACCAAGGCGTTCATCCGCCGCAAGTGATGAGAGTGCCAGTACTACCAGAGATCAGGTTTGTTTTCCATACCTTCATTGCTCAACCAACATGAAGATATACCAAGTTTAAGACAAAATAAAAGACACTTCATACGAATACTAATGGACTTTCAGGAATTAGGTAGTATGTACGATTATTTGGCTAAGATTATACTCTTAGGACCAAGTGGAAGCGGCAAGTATGTTACATTTTCTAATTGTTCGTGATGAGTGGGATGTTCATGGTTGGATTGATATGAATATGATATTGATGTCGCACAGATCATGTCTACTACATCGCTTTGTCAAAAACGAATGGAGGATCTTGTCATCCCAAACTATCGGCGTGGAATTCGCAAGCAAGATTATAAGAGTGGGTAGTGGCTCTCGACGGAAGCGCATTAAACTCCAGGTATTCCCATTTTCCCCTGTTCTCCGCATCCCCCTCCAAGTTAAGGGCTGATCATATAAAAGCTATGGGATACGGCAGGAACAGAACGATTCCGCTCTGTATCACGCTCTTACTACCGTGGCGCCGCTGGCGCAGTTCTATGTTACGATATCACGAACCATAATTCCTTTACCGGACTCCCTACCTTTCTTAATGATGCGCGAGCACTTGCTTCTCCAAACCTTACACTATTACTCGTGGGCAATAAGACGGATTTGGCGGATTCAAATGCAGATTTAATAGATACCTCTGTGCCGCCCGCAACACCATCTAGTATTAATAGCAAGAATTCCTCGTTTCCTTTTTCGGCGGGCGGATCTGTGAATTCGACTTCAGGGTATGCGGGGATAGGATCACAGTTAAAAGCAAGTGTAGCGCCGGATGGAAGAGATGTTAGTGCGGAAGAAGCATCTAGATGGGCTAGTTCTGCAAATATACCGGTTTCAGTTGAGGTTTCTGCGTTATCGGGTGATAATGTCGAGGAGGTTTTTAATAGATTGGCGAGGATGATATTGACGAAGATTGAATTGGGAGAAATCGATCCCGATGATCCAATGAGTGGAATACAGTATGGGGATGGAGGGAGATGGGATACAAATGCTAGTGATGGAGCCAGTGTGAAGAGTGGAATGACGATTGAAGATGGGATTACGAGGAGGAGGAGGAAGGGGAAGAGGGGGCAGAATTGGGGACTTGGGGGAATGAGGGAGTGGGAGGAGGTTTTTACCCTGACAGGTCAGAGAAGGAGAAGAGGTGGTTGTTGTTGAAGGGGAACCGAAGAGATCTTTTGGGATTGTCATAATCGAAAGGTTCTCTGTGATGATTAGAGTCGAGCTCCTCTTGTGCTCTGCGTCGAATTAAAGCCAGAGCTTGTGGATACTATTATTAATCTTAATGATAATGAATACTTGTTTTTTAGTCAATATTCCTCAAGTGGCTGATTCTGATGCAGTCGTGGGTAGGTGGTAGGCTGCGCACAAATTATCTGTACCCGTGGATTATCTGCGGATAATCTGCTTTATAAGTTATCCATTAGAGGTTCTACTTACTCTACGGATTATCTATCGAGGTTTTAAAATTATTTGTTTTGTATGGATAATTTGTAGATTATCTACAAATAATCTATAGGTATATAAGTAGACGAATTATTTATAAATATATAGATTATCTATAACATGATTTATTAATAAGTAAGTCATATTAATAAATAAATCACTTTCATCTTAATTTACACTTTTCTCTTTCAATATGCGTTTTATCAACAATCTATAATAAATTCGAATAATCAAAAAGCTTATATATTCTTTATTATTAAAGTTATTTAGAAAAATAAAAAAATAAGTATTTAAAAAGCTGTGAAGATATATAATGTTCTGAATATAATATTATAATATAGAATCAAAGGTTTTACTCTTTGTTTTAAATGTTGACCTAAATCTTATAATCTTTTAGAATTAAAAGAGAATATTATTTCTGAATATATAATTGATATAAATTCGAGAGATTTTCTATTTAAATTTAAGAATATAAAAAATATAACAAATTATATTCTCAAATCAAGGGGTACGAAATATGTTAGAAAGCTCTAGGTATATCAATTCATAAAACATTGAATCAAATTAAAAATATATTTTAATTATATTTATAACTTTTAAAAAGTTCTTTATAAGAATTTTAAATTTTTTGAAAAATGATTTTAATTAATTACAAATATATAAGTGAAATATAGTATTTTAAATAGAGATTTTTATAATTTTAATGAAACAAGTTTTATAATAGGGATTATATTATATATACAATAATAATAGTAATTAGTATTAAATGAAATAATAGAAGTAAAACAGTACAACTAAATAATCGAGAATGAACTATAATAATAATATACAAAAATAAAAAGAATAAAACTATTCTCCCATTTCTAATAATTTAAGAACAAGTTTATCTCTTCAATTAATACACTGAAACAAATCTTTTTATAAAATGAACTATTAAATCTATATCTAATAAATAAACGAATAATAAGATAAGTTTAAAATAGTTGAAATACTTCGATAAATCTATTAAGAATTAAAAAAAGAGCAAATATTGAATATTAATGTTGGATAAATATGAAAGTTATGAATTAATAGTTTTTTAAGTATATTATAAAGAGAATAATATTATATATTTATATTTATTATTATATTCAAGTTATTTAATTCAACCACTTAATATTAACTATTTTAATAATCTGAAATGTTCATATAATAATTAAATTAATGAATTTATTAAAGTATATATTAATCATATTTCGAAGATTGAATTCTTTATAGCTTTTAAAATTATATATAAGAAATCAATCACCTTTTAAAATATAAAATCAAAATTTCAAGAAATAAATTTAATTCTATTTAATCTTAAAACTATATTCTCAAAATTAAATATTCAAATTCATACATCTACCCCCCCTTTTTCAACCTAAATTAATAAATCTTTTAAACTCCTTATAACCCAACTAAAGCTCTTTCTTAATCAATATTAATTAAATCTTAAATAACTTATCATTAAATAAACTCCTTTACATTTATATTTGAAACTATATTAACTCTAGCTAAGAGTATAAAAAGATTAGTTTATGAAAATACACTTTTAAATACAAAGAATTGTATACTTCAAATAATAAATGAAACATTAAGCAAATATCGATATATATAAAAAACCTAATTATATTAAGAAGAAGTATTCATTAAACAAAAGGCTTTTAATATATTATCTCAATAAAAAGTTGATATTCAAATTTAATATAATAAGTATTAAAAAAAGAATAAATTCAATAAAAAAGTATCTTCTATTCAATATTATAATAAATATAAAAAGATAGATTATAATATAAAAATCTATTAAAATAATATAATAAATCCTAGATTATTATAATCTTTATAATTTCAATCAATTGATTCAATTATTATTGAATAATATAGTTTTGAAAGTGTAAATTGAGGTGAAAGTAATCCATTTACTAATATAACCCACTCACTAATAAACCATGTTAGATAATTTATAAATTATCTATAAATAATCTATAGATATATAGAATCTCTGCTTTTTTCGCTTAAAATATAAAGCTATTTCTAGATTATTTTCCAGCCTAAAAGTGATCCAAGCTTAGATTTATACTAATTTTTATACTAATCATAAAATTATATTAATATTAACATAGTTTATTAATGGGTTAATTATATTAATGGATCGGCCACTTTTACCTTGAATTATTACTTCAAAGCTATATTATTCAATAACAACTAAATTAATTGATTAAAATTATCAAGAATCTAATAATTTAGAATCTATTATATTATTTTAATAGGTTCTTATATTATAATCTATCTTTTTATATTTACTATGATATTAATTAGAAAATACTTTCTCATTAGGATTTCCTTCTTTTTAATATTTATCATATTAAATCTAAATATTAATCTTTTACTAAAATAATATATTAAGAATCTCTTATTTAATAAGTACTTTTTCTTAATGTAATTAAATTTTTTATATATATTAATACTTACTTAATACTTTATTTGTTATTTAAAATATATAATTCTTTATATTTAAAAATATATTTTTATAAGTTAATCTTTTTATACTTTTAATTAAAACTAATATAATCTTAAATATAAATATAGAGGAGTTTGCTTGATAATAAGTTATTTAAGATTTAATTAATATTGATTGAGAAAGAGCTTCAATTGAATTGTAAGGAGTTTAAGAAATCTATTGATTTAAATCGAAAAAGGAGAGGGTAGGTGTACGAATTTGAATATTTAATTTCGAGAGTATAGTTTCAGAATTGAATAGGATTAAATCTATTCTTTGAAATTTTAATTTTATATTTTAAAAAATGATTGATTCTTTATATATAATTTTAAAAGCTTTAAAGAATTTAACCTTCGAAATATAATTAATATATACCTTAATAAATCTATTAATTTAATTATTATATAAATATTGTTGGAAGTTGTATCACATGCGCTTAGCTACTGTGTATATATCACTTCCACTTCATAAGTTAGATTTTACTTTAATACAATTAATTTATATAATCACTTTTATATACATTCTATTAGCCTACTTTTTCATTATGAATAAGTTATAAGTCCAATAGCTCTATAATAAGATTAAGATTGAAAGCTTTTT